AGGATGCTGCGGGGGCTGCCCGACCCCAACTCCTTCCCGTTACACCTCGTCACTGCGGCTGGCAGCCGAAACTCACGGCCAGAATTATTGAAAGCCCCACGGAAGCCAAGGAGCTCGGGGCTTAGCAAAGCAGAACGCTGAAAATCGGTTTTCGCAGGAAAGAACAGTCCGTCTCCCAGCTGAAAAATGCTTTTGCCTCGCAGCAGAGCTCCTGAGCATGTTTGTAACGCAGCTATCGTTAACTTATTATGCTGTTGCTTCGAACATATTCAAGCGTGGGGGCTTACCTGTGCCCTAGGGATATAAATGCAATACGCACATATAGATATTTTAACACACACATGCTGTGTGCGTAGATAGGAACATACAACAGTCTTCAAAGACACTTTTCTGCAAACTGGTCTAGTGGAAGGTGTCCCTGCCCATGACAGAGATGAGCTTTAAGAGCCCTTCCAACCCAAGCCATTCTATCTATGTTCTCTCCATGGGTCTATTCAGAAATCGAGGGCCGCACAGAGAAGCTGCTTTTAGTGGGGAGGGGAAGAAATCGGTGGTTTTTTGCAGTGCTTTCTTTTCGAGGCATCTTGCAGCCGCAGAACGATCTGTTGGGAGTCAGAGTCGTTAGCTCAGCTATGCTGCCCTTCAGCTTTCATTAATGCCTCTAAAGGCACGGGCCAAATCAAAAGCGTCAAGGCAGCAGTCCAAGAAGGATTTTGGTCGTGAAGACCCTCAAACCTCTTCTAGAGTCGTTTTTTGTTTCCTCAAAAAATACACAACTCACCCTTCATGTTGTTTTTCAAGCGGTATTTTTGCTTTCTCCATCAGCACTGAAACGTGAAATCGAAATTTCACCCCTGGAAAAGGGGAATCGATCTCCTTTAGATTCAGAAAAGACAAGAGCACCCCTCTTTGCCCTGCACCCCGGGGGAGGCTCTCGCTGAGGATCGGAGCCAAGAGTCCACCCTTGGTCAAGAGGGAAACCCATGGACAAACACTGCTTGGCTGTCAAACCTTTCCCCTTGTCCTGTTCCTCCGTGGCCAACCCTGGGGCTGCTCCCCTCTCACACGCGATTTAGGACGGGGACACCTGCCCTCGGCCCAAACTCCGAGTTAGGATTTATGGTTCCTTTCAAAACCAAAAAAAATAAAATCCCTCCAATGTTGGGTTTTAATGTTCCAGTTAACAACCATAAGGTTCATTAAAATCATTTTTCTGAGCTCTTTCTCACCGTCCCTCCCAAACGCCTGTCCCGCAGGAGAACCACCCCCACAGCCCCCATCATCTCCCCAAGGGACTGAGGAAAATCATCTGTCTGCAGCTCACAGCAAACACCCCAAACCCTCTCCCTGCCTCGGGGGCTGCGGGAAGTCACCCAGCCTCGACGGGACTCCTGTCTGGAGGGATCTCTGCTTCCCAAGGGAGCTGGGAAGGAGGGCGGCTGCTCCAGGACAGGGCCGGGGGAGGTGGCTGGGGTGGTAGTTCTCGTGATCTTTCCCAAAAAAAGGGAAGAAGTCCTTTCCTTCCCCAAGAGAGCTCCGCGGGGACCCTGCGTGCGGTGCCAGCGCTGCCCGCAGCCCGGCGCCTTCTGGAGAGCGGACGAGCTAGTCTTAATTACTTTGTCAGAGATGAAAAATAGCAATTGATTTCTTTTTCTTCCCTCACTGGCCATCCCCCCTCTTCCCCTGCCCCTTCTTCTGCAGATAAGCAAACACACAAACGGCGACGAGGGAGCTGAACCCCCGGGAGAGAGTGTAGGGCTGTGCCGGGTTCCCCAGCCCCGAGGGTCCCCCCAGTCCCTCCCTCCCTCATCACACGCACTTAGCTGTCTTTACGCCGCATTAGTCAGTGCAAAAAAGCCAAGTCACAACAGGAGCAAGCGATGACACCTCTCCACAAACCTCCCCAAACACCCACAGGCACCCAAACGGTTCCCATCCCTGCGCTAAAATCCCTCGTCTTGGCTACTTTATGAGGGAGTTAAACACTGTAGCTATGGATCTTAAATCTACCTCCTTCCTTCCCACTGAAAAGTTTGCCTAAAAAGGATGGAGGCAGCCACAGCAACAACTTGCACCCTTTTCCCCGCTAGTTTCTTCCACGACTTCCAGCCACAGCTTTTGCCACCTCTGCAAGTGTCACCCTCTGAAGTCACAGCTTGTCCAGGGGTCCTCACTTAGAAGAGGAAATTAGCTTATATCAAGCAATTCCCACATGCAATCCATGAACCTTGCAATCCATGAACCTCGCGGGAGGTTTCCTTCTCCTCTCCTCACTTAGAAGAGGAAATTAGCTTATATCAAGCAATTCCCACAGCACAATAATCCATGAACCTCGCGGGAGGTTTCCTTCTTGCCTCCTCTCCTTGGGCTCATAATTTTTAATTTT